AAACACATGGAAATTAAATAACACCACCCTGAACAACCAATGGGTTAGAGATGAAATTAAAGAAGAAATTAAACAATATCTATAATTAAAGAAAAATGCAGATACAATATTCCAGAACCTGTGGGACAAAATAAAAGTAGTCCTAAGAGAGAAATTTATAGCAATGAATTCTCATATCAGGAAAACATAATGAGCACAAATAAACAAGCTAATGTTACACCTCAAGCTCCTAGAAAAAAAAGAGAAAGTCAACAACCAAAGGCTATTGAAGGGAGAAAATTATAAAGATCAAAGTATAAATTAACACAGCTGAGACTAAAAAACAATACAAAAAATTAATGAAGAGTTGATCCTTTAAAAGAATAAATAAAATTGATAAACCCTTAGCTAATCTTATCCAAAAGAAGGAAAGAAAAGAATCAAATTCATGCAGTGAGGAATGAAAAGTGCGAAATCACTACAGATCCTGCGGAAATTAAAAAGTTCATCAATACCTACCTCAAAAATCTTTACTTTTGTAGAATGGAAAACACAGAAGAAATGGTCAGATTCCCAGATATGTATGAATTCCCAAAGCTGAACCAAGAATATATAAATATCCTGATAACCCAATATCAGTCAATGAAATTGAAAATGTAATTTAAAACTTGCCAACAAAAAAAAAGCCCAGGTCCTGATAAATTGACTACTGAATTCTACAAGAAATTTAGAGAATATTTAATGTAAGTACTCCTCAAACACTTTAATGAAATTGAAAGGGAAACAATACTCCCTAACTCATTCCTGGAGGCAAATATTACTCTGATACCAAAACCAGAAAAGACCCAACTAAAAAAGAGAACTACAGGCCAATCTCCCTAATGAACATATGTACAAAAATCCTCAATAAGATGCTAGAAAAAAGAATGCTGAAAATCTTGAGGAAGATTATATACCATGACTGAGTGGGATTCATCCCAGGAATGCAAGGATGGTTCAACATATGCAAATCAGTAAATGTAATACACCATATCAATAGAATCAAAGACAAAAATCACATGATCATCCAATAGATGCAGAAAAAGCTTTTGACAAAGTCTAACACTCATTCATGATTTAAAAAACCTACAAAAAATCGGAATAGATGATCTTCATCTCAATCTGAAATAAAACATCTTGAACAAACCAACAGTCAGCATTGTATTAAATCAACAAAAACTAAAAGCTTTCTTTCTAAAATCAGGAATAAGACGAGGATGTCCACTATCATTACTTCTATTCAAAATAGTTCTTCTGTAAACACTAGCCAGAGCAATTAGACAGGAGATAGAAGTAAAAAGAATAAGGACAGGAAAGGAAGAAGTTAAATTATCCTTATTTGCAGATGACATGATACTCTACATAGAAGACCCAAACAACTCCACCAAAAGACTTCTAGATTTAATAACAAAATTCAGTAGCATAGCTGGATAAAAAGTCAACACTCCAAAATCATTATCATTTCTGTGCACAAACAACTCACTGAGAGAGAAATTAGGGAAACCACACCCTTCATGATAGCATCCATAAAAATGGTGTACTTAGGAATCAATCTAACAAAGAAAGTAAAAGATCTATATGTTGAAAATTACAGTACTCTGAAAAAGGAGACGGAATTGGATATCTGAAAATGGAATGATATCACTTGCTCTTGGATAGGAAGAACCAACATAGTGAAAACAGCCATCCTCCCAAAATTGTTGTACAGATTTAATGCAATCATGATCAAAATACCATTAGCATACCTTGCAGACCTAGAGAAAACATTCCTAAAATTCACCTGAAACCAGAAGAGACCTAGAATAGCAAAAGCAATTCTGGGCAACAAAGGCAAGGCAGGAGGCACTACAATCCCTGACATGAAATTATACTGCAAAGCTACAGTGATAAAATCAGCGTGCTACTGGCAAAAAACCAGACCTGAGGACCAGTGGAACAGATTAGAAGATGCAGACACAACCTCAAACGCATTCAGTGGCCTTATCTTTGACAAAGTCATAAAACATGTTCACTGGAAGAAAGCCTCTTTTTATTTTTCGAAAGCCTCTTTAATAAATGGTACTGGAAAAACTGGCTCTCTACGTGCTGTAGACTAAAACTAGACCCATGTCTATCACCATGTACTAAACTAAAGTCAAAATGAATCAAAGTTCTATATATTAAAACAAAAATATTCAATTTATTGGAAGACAGTATGTAGAAATCTGGAAGATCTGGGTGTCAGCAGAGAATTCATGAACAAAACACAGATCACAAGGGAAATACTTCAAAGAATCAACAACTGGGTTCTCTTATTGAAAACCTTTTGCACAGCAAAGGAAATCACCAACAGAGTGGAAAGACAACACACAGGGTGGGAAAAATCCTAGCAAACTGTTCCTCAGACAAAGGATTTCTATGTAGAACATAGAAAAAATTGGAAAAAAAATCAGACACCCAAAATTGAAAGTCCCAGTCCAAAAATGGGCATCTGAGATGAATACACACCTCTCAGATGAAGAAATACAAATGGCAAATAAACATATGAAAAATGTTCAACATCACTGATCATTCAAGAGGTGCAAATTAAAACAACACTGAGATATCATCTCACTCCAGAAAGAATGGCTATCATCAAGAAATAAACCAATAACAAATGCTGGAGGGGCTGTGGGGAAAAATGAACAGTTCACCATGGTTAGTGGGAGTGTGGACTGGTAAAACCACTGTGGAAATCAGTGTGGAAATTCCTCAAAAAACTAAGATTACAGGTCCCACTCAAACTGACTATTCCCCATCTGGGTATCTTCCTAGAAGAATGAAAAACATCATACCACAGCAATATATGTGCACCCACGTTTACAGGAGCAAAATTTGTAATAGCCAAATCTTGGAGACAACCCAAACACCCATCAACTAGGGAATGGATAAAAAAGATGTTGTATTTTTATATAATGGAGTACTGCTCAGCCATAAAGAAGGATAAACTTGAGACTTTTATAGGTAAATATATGCAACTTGAGCTCACACTCATAAGTGAAATAAATCAGACTCACGTGTAAACATCATATTGTCTCTCTTGTGTGAGAAACTGAAAGAGTAAGTTTAAAATTTATAATAGATATTGTGAGATGGAAAGAAATTACTGAAAAGGAAAAAGGAACCAGGATGGGTGAAAGGAGAAAGAACATCAGACAAAAGGGGAAAAAAAGCAAGTCAGTTATACTATTACTGTCTCTTAGTCCATTAAAAAGGAAGGTTTATTTTAATATCAATTGGAGAAATTTGCATGCCCACATTTTGTACCCTGAGCATCTACTTTAAAGATAGCAACATGTAATGTATTAACTATCATTATTCTTCTCCTATTGTGTTGTTATGAAATTTTGTTTTACCTTCTTTTCATAAAATAAAACAAAGAAAGTAAATGGCTTATTAGGGGATCAAGTGAATGTACTCCCTGTGGTAAGGAAGCAAGACGTGGGCAAACTAGATAAGATCTATGCAAGTTACCCTAACTCTCTCCTGTCCCAAAACCTCTGCACCTCTAAAAAACATGAATACTTGATAACATTCCTTGAGACTCCAGTAAAAATGCTTCCCTGTGGGAGGGTGCTTTGTTTGTTACAGCAGCTATCTCTGTTATCTATATTTCTTTCCTATAACAAAGTTATATTATATGTTAGCCTTGAACTTAGCCCACATACAATTTCTGCCCTATATGTGGCTAAGAACCCATAGTAGCCAGTGATAATTTTACACTTTACAGTTAACTTTCCTGGTTTTTTTTGTAGTATAGGACATTGAAACCAGATCCTCATACTCGCTAGGCCAGCACTTTACCACAGAGCTACATCCCCAGCCCTTTTTAAACATTTTCTTAGTGAAACTTAGAGTTTCACTAAGTTGCTTGGACTGGCTTCAAACTTGTGATCCATCTGAATCAGTCTCTTAAGTAAGTACAGTTGTGGATCACTGTGCCAAATAGAACTTTTTTTAATAAGTAGAAAGACTACATGCTAAGATAATGATAAAAATTATAGTACGGTAAATACATAAGCCACTCACGGTAGTTTATCATCATTGTGAAGTATCATGCACTGTGTACAATTGTATATGCTACCCATGCACATCACTGGTGGCACAGATATCCTTACACCAGCACCACCACAAACACGTGAGTAATGCACCGCCCTATGACTTCGTAGTGGCTGTTACATCATGACAGAACAGGAAATTTTAGTTTCATTAAAATCTTACAGGACCACCATCATACATACAGTCAGTTGTAGACAGAAAATCTCATCACACAGTGCATGCATGGGCTAGAGAGTGAGGGGACAGCGTGCAGGCAAAACAGCAAAAACTGACTACAACTCCCTCCACACAGCAAGAAGGCCAGGTCACGAGTGAAAAGCGATGCTCTGGTAAGTGATTCATGCTTTTCTGTTACCTTCAGTGATGTTGCAGTTTTTCTATCTACTTTTTCTGAGCCCAAGCCACATGTGCACTAGTTTGTAGGCTCCTAGGAAAAAAAGCTGTGTTTCTTGTTCACAGTCATGATCCCAAGGCTTGGCACATAGTAGAACCTCAATGAAAAATTGTTGAACAGCCAATGACTGGGGCCCGATGTGTCCTTCGTCTTTCTTCGTTGGGCAAATTTAATTATCCTACTAGATTAGATTCTTCGAAAGAGACCTTCAGTGTGTTTTTACACGAACAGTTGGGATACCCTGATAACAACAGTAAGGCTGATCTGCTTAGCTTCCCAGAATTGTCTACCCCTGACTCTCTCACAATGATCTTTGAAAAGCTCATAAATTCCATCTGATAATATCTCAGCAAGAAACATGAGTCCTCTTCTGATTTACATATAAGATAGCTGAGTCAACAGAGGCTGGGCAGTCTATCAATTCTAAATAGGGTAGATGGACTTTGGCATCTACTCTAAATAGAATAGATGGACTTTGGCAGTTCGGGACACCTTCATTTTTCCTTTTCAGGCTTGAGAATGAAACCCAGGGGCTCATACCTGGCAAGCAAGCACTTACCACCACGCTACTCTCCCCCTTTTGGGGTGGCTCACCGTCTTCCTGAGAACTCTGCTTTTGGAACGCACTGGCAAATTTGCCGTCTGAGTGCATCATCTCAGCTGAGAGAAAGCTGACTAATTTCTCCAGAAAGATGCAGTGTACAGACTTTCATGTATCTGGTAAAATGCAGAGTTGGTGTTTTATTAAAAGAAATCTTTTCTGAAGGCACATCTAAGCATGAAGGAAGGGAAGCTGGAGGAGAAGTCAGCAAACTCAGCCTTCAGCGCTGGCTCTGCCTACTCTCCAGGTTCGCTCCCAGAGACAAATGGGTAAAGGCGACTCCACCTGGTGACAGCAGTCCGTGTACCAGCACTTCACAAACTCTTCCTTGGAAAGACACAAAGGCCATGTCTGAGAGAAAGCTGTCAGGCCATAGTCATCCAGCACTGTATGCTGCTTACAATCATTTTCTGACAAAAGGAAATCAAATGTCTGGAAGAAGACTTCTTGTTCCAATTTACCCCAAAACTTCATATGTACCCAAAGCCTTCTTCATCTTAGTAAAAAGATGTGTTATTAACTCCATTTTCCAGAGGAAATTTTCACTCATTAATTGCTTACTCAAAGTGAAACAGTGTAACTGGCAGAGGTGGAATTTCAATCCAGCAGGTTCTAGTCCTGAGCCCTGGGCTCTTTCTGGGACACCAGCATGCTCCTCCAGGGCAGTGAGGAGGGAGTGAACTCATGGGGTTGAAATGATGTGCGCCCTCACGGACACCCTGCAAACACATCCACTTGCTGTTAAGTTTCACCTTGGGCAGGAGAGCTGATCTTGTCAGTGAGCTTTTCTGATGGAGGACAGGCTGGTGGACTACATGCCCTTGAGAAGTACACTACTCTCTATGGTAGCCCTAGCAGGAGAGCGGACAATGGATGTTGTGGGGACAGAGAAGTGAATCTCGTAATTCTCGCAAAGATGTGTGTGCATGAGCACCGCATCTAAGATACCTCTTGTTTCTCTAGGGGCCACTTCCTGAAGAATAATAAAGGGCTTAGGCAAAAATTGCACAGATTTGCAGCTCTGTGTTTTGATGGTCTCTTGACCCTGCAGTCTCCACCCCAGGCTTCTCGTCCTCCTGTTCCATGGCTCTGGACCCCATATCCTAAACCTCCTGTCACCGGGACACCCTGCCCAGGACAGGGTGTTCTTTTGTTTCCTAAGTGATTCTAGCCTTTTCTGTCAAGACTTAGAAATTCTACAGACCCTTGGCATTTCTTTTATATGCCAGGAGTTCAAACATGCAAGGAATATTCACTTTTATCTCCCCAAGTGACTCAGAGACAGGATGGATGGAACACCCAGGGTGCTGGCTTCCACCAAGCAGCCTGGGGCTCTCCCAGGGGTGTTTGGAAGGGCTGTGTAATGACTAATTTTATGTGTTGGTTTGGGTAGGCTGAGGGATGTCCAGATATCTGGTGAAACTAGTTTTTGGTGTGCCTGTGAGGGCGTTTCTGGAAGAAACCAACATTAGAATAAGTGAATAGAGCAAGGAGGATCCAGCCTCACTGATATGGAGAGACACCAACTTATTATCAACCCTAATAGTACAACATATGGAGGAAGAGAAAATTCCCTCCTCTCCTTGGACTGGCACGTCCAACCTCTCCTACCCTCAGATGTGTGAGCTCCTGGTTCTTGGGTCTGGGGACCCTAGGATGTACAGTAAGTACCATGGCCCAGGTTCTCTGGCCTTCAGCTCCACATTGACAGTTACACCATCAGCTTCCTGGATCACAGGACTTCGGATTCACATTGAATGGCACTTGTGGTTTAGATCTAAAATATCCCCAGAAGGGTCATGTTCAGAGGTGGGATATTGAAAGTGGGGTGGAACATGAAGACACTGAATGTGTCGTTAGGAGGTGGGGCCTTGAAGGAAGAGGCTTGTCACTGGGGGCATAACCAAGAATGGTGTATTCTTGTCCTTGACTCCACCTTTCACCCTCTCTCCTTCCTGGCTATCAGGCAATGAACAGCTTTCTTCTGCTACATAATTCTGCCATACCATTTCTGCCTTGGAGCCAGAAAAAGCCACGGACTTAACCCACTAAAACCATAAGCCAAATAAGCCTTTCTTCCTTTAAATTGCAGGTGTCAGTATTTTATTCCAGGGATGGGAAAGTGACTAATGCAACACCACCAGGTTTCCTGCATCTTTAGCTTGCAGACAGCAGATCATAGGACTTCTTCGCCTCCATAATCATGTAAGCTGACCCCCACAGTAAATATCCTCTGATGACTCTTCACCTACCTTATTGATTCTGTTTCTCTGGAGAACCTTGATTAATACAGGTTGTATTAATTTGGTAGGGCTGCCATAACAAAGGACCACAAACTGTGGTTTAACAAACAGATGTTTATTCCTTCACAATTCTGGAGGCTAGAAGTCCCAGATCAAGAGGCTGGCAGATTGGTTTCTCCTGAAGCTCTCTCCTTATGTGGCAGATGGCTACATAACATAGTTTTACTTGCTTCATACATAGTTTACTATGTAGTATGTACTATGTAGTATGCAGTTTACTACATACATAGTTTTACTTGCTTCTTATACTAATTTCTGGCAAGCTGCATACACGACACCTAAACCCAGAAACTAAATGACTGAAGCACTCTGATGCACTTTAGATGGCTGAATACCATTTAGACTTCAATACTGGGTGCTATGGTCTGAATGTGTCCCCCAAAAGTACATGTGTTGGAACTTAACCCCCAAATTCCTGTGTTGTTGATAAGGAATTGAGGCATTTGTGAGGTAGAGTTGGATAAGGGTATGGGAGGGAGGGCTCCCACAATGGGATCAGTAGCTTTGATTTTTTTTTTGTTTGTTTGTTTTTTCTGGTACCAGGAATCAAACTCATGACCTTGTGCTTGCCAGGCAGGTGCTGTGCCCCTGAGCTAAATCTCCAGGCCCAGTAGCTTTGAAAGTAGACAAGAGACACCTGGACTAGGATGTTTGTTCTGTCTTATCATGTGATTCCTCTGCCATGTTAAGATATAGGAAAATGCCAGATTAATATGTAGCAAGATGACACCACCTTGATACTATACTTCCCAGCCTCCAAAACTATAAGACTTCCTTGTCTTTAAAAATTACCCAGCCTATGGTATCTTGTTATAGCAACAAAAAGACAGACTAAGACATTAGGACAAGAGGCAGGGGCATGGGCACACCTGCTCTTAGGCTGAGAATAGAGCCCTATGTCCAGCTGTGAGCAGATAGCACTGCTGACACACCATCATGGGCCAGGATCAGCTAGCATCCAGCCTATGCCTGGCACATGGTGGGCACACAGAAAATGTCTATGAAATTGAGTGCTCCAGATGAGTTAAAAGTGGAGCTATCTTCAAAGGGAATTAAGAAAATGATCTCAAATAAGATGCCTGAATTATATAACAAAAAAGGAAAATGATTTTGAATTTCAAGGGTTATTTTCAGGGCAATCAAAACTGTATTGTGGAGGCTTGACCCCTCATATGGGCTCTTTCTGGGTGACCTGAAGGAGATGGAGCACCTGATCTGGAGGCTGACATCCAGCCCTGCCATGCCAGGACCCAACACTGACTTTCAAAGTCATTAAAATATGTACATGTCTTTGTGTATACATATTTATGTACGTATATGCATACTGTGTATATATACATATAATACTGCATACTTTTTCTTTATAAAATAGGCCACTTAGTCCTCTTTAACCCACTCTTACAAGAAGTAGCACTTTTTTAAAGTGACAAAATGGCTCCACTGTAGCAGACTATGGTAGAGGTACGGTGGCCTGGCGGAAAGAGCCATAAGCAAAGAATACAAGTATGTGGGCTTTAGCACCGTGCCTTAGACCAACTAACTCTGAGTTATTGGGCAAGTGACATGCCATCTCTGCATCTGATTTCCTTGTCTCTAAGGTTAAAAAGATTGGAAGATGAGTGCTCTGTGGTGAGTTGCTATGAGTTTATTGGTAAGAAGCACCCTCTGAAGCCACGTGACTGGTTTCCCAGAATGTCTTCCCTTCTCTTGGCTATCCCTGTGCCTCCAGGTTAGGAGCAAGGAGCAAGTACTGTTCAAGCACTTGAGGTACGAAGAGGGAGCCGCATCCAGAGGGGAGAAGCTAGGGTCCCGAGGGTGGTGGCGGAAGGGGAGATCTCTACCAAGTACCCGGGGCCTTTAATTTTATTTTTTTGCTTGCATTTTCTTTAGCTTGCTAAGACTCAGTTCCTGCCCCCAGTGAGTAAAGAAAGTGGAGTCAAAGCAGGGTGAGGTTCAGCCTGCCTGACATTCCCAGGCACCCTCTCCCAGCATGATGGGGAGGAGAGATTTTTTTTCCCAAATAAGTTTCCATAGTCCACTTTCCTGGATGGAGCTAAAACTCTTTAGAAGGTTGCCATTTTCAGATAAAGAAGACAGTGCTGCTGAAAGTAAAATACACAAAACCTTGTGAATGAGGAACAGGGAAGTTTAATGCAAAGGTCAGGAATCCTTAGGTAAAAATAAAAAGAGGATAGATGGAACCAAAGAGGGGAGAACCAAGAGAGCTGAGGCTCCAGAGAGTAAGAGAAGGAGGCCATGAGGGATATCTTTGCAGCAGAAAATGGCCCCCTAGCTAGTATACTTCAGTTTCTGTTATTGTCCAAGTAAGAGTTTTTTTTTTTTTTTTTTTTTTTTTAAAACCAGGAATCAAACTCAGGACCTCACGCTTGCCAGGCAGGTGCTGTGCCACTGAGCTGTACCCTTGGCCCAAGGTAATAGTTCCTGTTACAGTTCCTGTTATTTCTGTTTCTTAGAACCATCTGGTCACTGTGATACATATTGTAAGAACCAATCAAAGACAGACAAGTACTCTGCTTCTGTACTTGCCCTTTGCAACCCCATAAAAACCTCCTTCCCAGAGCCTTTGGGGCCTGACAATTCTATAAGGATTGATTCCTTGTTGACGTAAATATATCTGCCTCCAAATCCCAGGTGAAGTTTCAGTGTTACTGTTTGCCACTGCACTGTAAGAAAGAGGTAGAGACGCATGGGAAATGAGCCTGCAGCAGTAAGTCCAAGCAATGCATCCTGCCGCTGGGAAATTTCCTGAGCAAGAGACAGGAGAAGGAAGTGGGAATCCTGGCCTTCCTCCCCAGACACAATCTCTGAGGGGAATCCAGGGCAAGAGGGGTTCCTGGGGGGAGGGAACACAGGGAATCTCAGCCTTTCCAGGTCTGGCTGCAGCTCTCCAGGTGCTGCTATGGGAAACAGCCTCCTGTGTCATCAGCTTTTCTGCGGCATGATTATTTTTTAAAGTCTTTAAAACACTATTTTTACCGCAAGCACATTTTTTTCTTGCAAAGGAACAAAAGGATCACAACCCACATGGTCCTCAAACTGGCAGCCCTGGGAACAGGCAGCATGCAGATTTACATATGGGGGAGCCCTGCCCCCGCTTTCCACCCGCTGGATATTTCCACAGAAAGGAAACCGGCATAAATGCCACTGGCTGGGTGCCGCCACTCTCCTCAAATCAGTGCGCAGAAATCATGTGAAATGATGAATGACGGGGTTTCACAGCCAATGTGATTCTCAGTAGTAGTTTGGGCCATTGACAAGTACAGCTACAGTGGTAAGAAAAAAAGGGACATTTCCTTCTTTCTCCTT